ATAATAATACTACTACTTTATTAGCTTATATACTAATAGAATAATAAAAGAAGGATTTTAGTATTTTTATTATTTTAAAATTTATAACTTAGTTTAGAAAGTAATATAAATAGTAATTTATAAATATTTAAGTAGTATATAAGACTAGAATTTTAAGGCTATCTAAAATTATAGCTTTTATATCTTATTTATATTTCTAGTATTACTAATTAAATAAAGTATATTTTAATTACTAATATTATAACTATAGAACTAGATCTAAATAAGACTAGTAACTATTATAGTAATATAGAGCTTTATTTAATAGTATATAAAATATTAAAAAGATTAGATTTTAGTTATAATATAGCTTTCTAGTTAGGTTTATAAATTTTTAAAAATTTATAGAAATTTATAAAAACTTAATTCTATTATATATTAATAAGTATTAGATATTCTTAAAAACTAATAATAGAACTAGATTCCTTATAGTCTAAGGATTTTAAAACTATATAGATTATACTAAAAAGAGTAATATTTAGTAAAGTTACTTATATATTTTATTCTTAATCTAATTAAATAATTTTCTTATATAACTTTAAGTTCTTAATAATATGTTTTTAGGTTTAAAACTAGTAATTACTATTTTTAGCTCTAATTTATTTTTTTCTATACTTTTAATAATTCTAGTAGTCTAATACTAGAATATTATTAAATTATATCTATAATTAGACTATATAACTTAGTTTTAAGTACTAAAATAAATAGTTAAATTCTTAAATATTAAATATTTCTACAACTATAGCTCGTATTATAAAACTAAGATTAGTATTAGAATCCTTATAATTAGATAAATTTAATAATATAATTTCTAGTATGTATTAGTAACTAGTATTAAATACTAGTAAATACTAGTAAATACTAGCTAGTATACTAGCTAGTATACTTACTTAGTATCTAGTATTACTAAAAACTAGTCTATTATATAACTAGTTCTAGACTATACTAGTACTATTATGTTCTAGTTTGCATTATAAAATACTAATTATATTCTAGTTCTAGCTAATACTAGACTAGACTTACTAGGTTCGCAACCCTACAAAAGATACGATAATAGGTATGTAAATGAAAACTTAAAATTGCGCTCTTCCATCTATAAGTAATGTTCTTACCTAGTGCTTTTCTCCAGCGTCATTGAAAAGAGAAGCAATTACTCTAAGGCTATCAAGGAGTTAAACTATATATTTAATGAATAATCTACGACATCCCTTCCTGCTTGTTAACTCATAGTTTTTAGTGCGTTCCCGCATTATCTCACCGTTACGCCACCATTTCCTAACGGAGAACAAAGCAAAAAAGCTACAACTCTAGCCTCAGAGCCAGAAAAGTAAAGGCGAGCAAAAAAATGAAAACATCAAAAGTTATGGTGCTGGAGCAGTTGGGGATCGAACCCAAGACCTCGTCAAGATTCATTCAAAGTCGGTAAACTGACTGCAAATGACGCGCGCTACCACTGTGCTACGGCCCCTAGACGTTGTAAGACTAATTTCGCTTATTTTTGAATATATCATGAGTGTAGTGTTAGTCCTAAAGTCCTGGAAACTTTGACCTTTTGCACCTTTCTCCAGATTATATCGCGCCGAAGAAGAACAAACCACAACGATTTCGAGGAGCCCAAACATTAGTAGCATAGGCTTACTTCATGACTAATATTTGGGGAGAATCAACACTTCAGAAGCTGTTTGACCAACAGCCAAAACAGTTGGCTCGTTTTGAGTGACAACGGCACGGCAGAATAAATGGCGTTCTACCATCAACTCTGATGGCTGCCACCAACGCTCTTGAGCAAGAAATACTATATTTCCATTGTACTCGATAAATTGCTCGAATCTGAATATCTTTAATGGTAAATAAAGCATTGCGATAAAAGATCGTAGCGTTTGGGAGCCAACGAGGCACATGGGAGCGCGCCATTTATTTTGCCGACCCGTTAGAGTGACTACATTATAACATGGACAAGACTTCAATGGACAGTGCTTATTTTCACAAAGCTGATTTCATAAATTAAATGGTAATGGAAAAAAAAACAAATCAAGCAGTTGCTTTCAAATCAAGTGGATTGTTGTCGTTATCGCTGATTGTTAAGATGGGTATCCGCAATGTATGACTTTCTCAAGCTTATAGGATAAAACAAACTGCTCTATTTAGATATGATCACTGTGTTTGCCTCCAAGGTCATGTTCTGACTCGTTATAGTGTGATGGAAAATATAGCCTTTTGTCTTTAGTAGCATTGGTGGAGAACGTCGCCGTTGGTGGAAGCTGGGCCAAAAATGTCTCGCTTGTCCCGTCTCGAATCATGATACAACGCCCTGAAAGCAAGAAAGGCACACTCGGTACCATTCTCTTATTCAAGTAAAGATTAGATTAAAGTTAGAATTGAAGTTGGTCCACCTTGCGGGGTACATGATTGACGAAGTTGTCAGCAACGTATATGATTGCGTGCTTTCAGGTTATATCAACATCATAACTGCCAGTGGAGATGTCAAACATCACGGTACATACCAACTATCCAATGAATTAAGTTATCTGCCAACTTCACTCCGATAGCTCTCCGATATTCCCGGATACAAAGAGGCAAACTCAAAATCTTCCATAATCGTTGGACGTATCTCTATCTGACATGGGGGCGGTTGGGATTTTATAGGTTAGTGCCCTGAAGCAGATGGATGCTTCGGTCGTGCACTGTTATCATAATGATGATGGAAGAATGGAATGTTTTGATTATGGAAAGACTCGAAAAGTCAAGTGAGTTTTCACAGGGCTGCAGAAATACGATAATAAACCAGAACCAAAGCGTTGAGTTGCACGAGGACGACCTGGAGCGCTGTAAAGTAGTAGAATTGTCATTATCTTACAACAGCTATCATGGTCAAAACGTCTGATCGTCCCCACGAGTCGCAAGAATGGCGAATATATTTCGCAATTTGGCTCATACTCTAACATGAACCGATCACGGCTGTTTCCTTACATTTAAATATATTTACCGGTGCTATGGTACCTGTTCTACATTTAAACTTGAACATTCAGTTGCTGTTTTCAGACATCTGTTATTCAATCAAGTCACTGCATAACCACCTCTCAACGAGATACTGAAAAACTATGGCTCCTCCTCCACCAGCTGATGTTGCCTCTGGAGTGTTCACTCACGCACTCCGTGAACCACCAACAGGTCCCACCCAATACTCAGAAGCCTTTGTCTCCGGTCCAAAGGTATATAGCAAGGAAGCTGAAGAGAAGGGAACCGAAACGCAACCAGCTGCCAAGTATAAGCATTATCTACCAACCTGGGACGCGAACAAGAGTAAGAAACCCAGAGTACTCAAGACAACTAACAGGTGGTTGAAAGAGCACGCTCCCATTGACGATGATGGCCGCCATCACCACTTTAAAGTAGTGACTGCTATATCTCCTATCAAGTGTCATTGAACAATAAACATCTGATGGGGCATATGTAATCTGAACTAGCAGCGTGGTAATTGGAAGTCATTGGAGATGATTGGTTTACACCGGATTTTCGTCCACTGGTCGGTTTCCTTCCTAGTCATTGACACCTATTAGCATACCCACCACTTCAACCATTCGAGCATATCGAGCATGGCAAAGACGCAGATACGTCATACCCGAATCTCCTCGGTGGTGCTTCCAGAGTTGTCGAGTTGACCGGAAACACTGGCTCAGAAGTCCATGGCATCCAGCTAAGCAAGTTGACCGACGCCGGCAAAGACGAACTAGCTCGATTTGTCGCCGAGCGCAAGGTCGTAGCATTCAGAGATCAAGACTTTGCCGACATTCCCATCCAGGAAGCACTAGACTTTGGCGGCTACTTTGGACGCCATCATATCCATCCTGCTAGTGGAGCACCTGCAGACCATCCAGAGGTTCATCTCGTCCATCGAGGCGCGGATGATACTACTGCTCGGGACTTTTTTGTAGAGAATACCAATTCGGTGAGATGGCACTCTGATGTCACGTAAGTGTAGCTCTGAAGATGATACGGAGTCAAATTAACTGATATGGAATAGATATGAGAACCAACCCCCTGGAACCACCTTCCTTTATCTCCTTGATGGTCCGGCTGCTGGTGGTGATACTCTCTTCGTGAACCAGGCTGCGGCGTACAAGAGACTCTCACCGGACTTCCAAAAGCGGCTCCACGGACTGACTGCTATTCACTCTGCACACGAGCAGGCGAATAACAGCAAGCAGCGTGGTGGCATTGTTCGCAGAGAGCCGATCACATCTGAGCATCCGCTCATTCGCACACATCCAGTAAGCTTATCGCAAAAAGACGAGATGTGTGATATCGAAGCATAGAGTCTGACAACATCTAGTCCACTGGAGAGAAAGCACTCTTCGTGAACCCACAGTGTATGTTTTCCCTGCTCTTATGTTCCGCAAAATCTAACTCGTCTGATAGTCACCCGCCGTATCCCTCAGCTCAAGAAGGAAGAAAGCGACTATCTGTTACGCTTCCTCTACGATCACATCTCCAAGGGTGCTGATTTTCAAGCCAGAGTCAAGTGGGCTCCAGGAACCGTCGTGGTCTGGGATGTAAGTTACAACTCTTGAATTCCCGTGGTCAACGAATCAGGTTGTTAACATTGCATAAATTAGAACCGAGTCACGGCTCATTCCGCGTTGATCGATTGGGACGATGGTCAAAGACGACATCTTGCTCGAATAACTCCTCAAGCAGAGAGACCCTTCGAAACTCCTTTCTGAGCGTGCAGCTGGTTGGAGTAGCAGGTTAGAAACTGTTTCTTTGGGGCACGACCGATAAACGCTTGTCACTCGTTAGAATAATAGAAATCAATCATTAATGACATGTTTCAAGGAATTAAGCCTGAAATAAGGGACGTCCTTCCATCATGAAGTGTCGCTGATGGTTTTCTAAATGAAGTATGCTGGGAGGCAACCGATGAACAAAATAACTGGCGTTCTCCCATCAGCGTCGATGGCTCCCACGAACGTTGTTAATTCAAATGTGTTATATTTCCCATCGCATTCGATAAATAATCGAAGTCTGAACGCGCTCTATGGCAAATAAAGCACTTGATAGCAGATCGTCTTATATGGGAGCCATCGCACTTGTTGGGAGCGCGCCATTTACTTTGTCGACCCTTTGGGAGGCAGCATACTTTCTATTGCATTCGATGAACTATCGACGCGTCAATGTACTGGATTGCAGAACAAGAATAATCTGAAGTGGAATGTCTTCGGAAAAAGCCCTGTGGTTTGTTGATTAGTCTAGAGGCAGGTTCAAACTGCAGTTTGGTTCCGACTCGCCTTCAGTGTACCAAATAGGTACTGATACTAATTTCCCAATGCCTCAACATGGTGAAAACAGAGTAGGGACAAGGAGAAGAAGCGCGTTATGCGGAAGAATAATAGATAAATGCTACTCATGCACTTGCTTGTTCGTTTTCCTTAAAATAAGCCAATAAGGCAAGGTTATTGGACTTGAAACATTGGTACTGGGATAACTTTGATGAGGGGAGGGAGAGCTGGTAGCGAAAGGTCATCAGAACAAATGGATACAAGATGGCAATGGCCTCACAATGGTTTGTTAAACAGGGAATGGTTGCATTTGCTGATATGCGTGTGCCATTGGTGACTTTGGTCCAAAGGTTGCGGCGATTGAGTTCATAATGAAAGGTAATGCTGGTTGAGTTGTTCAATGTGTGACTGCTCGTGTAGAAAAGGAAGAAAGGTGAAGCTAGTGTAAATACTCAATGGAATTTCGCGTTCTGGTTCTGACTAGAGTACTCCGTAACGGGTAAGATTGGGCATAATGAAAGCCACCAGAATGGCGGCATAGGCCCCTAGAGCTAGCCTCCAGATTATGCCGACTGCAGTCCGTTGAATTGGCAGATTGATGGTTCTGAGCTTCAGCTGCTTGGTAGATTCAGGATCACGAAAATAGCATCAGACTTCCAAGACTTTGCCAGTGGACCTGTAGTCATTAGTCAATGTGTAGAGATGGCGGTCTAGAGGTTGGTCAATGGTGGTGAGAGGAGAACACAAGAGGTTATAACGAAAGCGGCAAGCACTCTTGAAGTTGCAACAACCAATCCTAAAATGGCAGGAGAGCCCCAGGTAGCGCGAACGCACAGGCGCAATTCGCCCATCTGCGCCTGCCAGCCCGCCAGAAGGTTCTTGGCATTTTGGGCCAGTGCGATGCAGTGCTTTGCTTTGGTGGAAGGCGCAGACGCTCAGTCGGTGCTTCCCAATTCCCTCAAGCCTCAACGGCCTTTCTCTTCTCCACTCACAACAACTTCCTTTCCAGCTTCCTCCGCTCTCACGAGATTCCTTTGGCACCCGACCAGTCCACTATTCCTTGACGTCCATCTCCAATCCGCTCCATCAATCTCACCACCATCGCAACAAGTCTCAACCCCATTTCTACTCTGTTTTGTTGGCTCTCTCTTTTAGCCCAACCCAGCGCTAGGCAACCCCTACGCCTTTC